AAAGACATACAGAATGAACTTATTCAGCTTTTATCCAATGCAATCAAACAAAAAATTCTATCATCTGCTCGTGATGCTAATTACTTTTCAATAATTTTAGATTGTCCACCAGATGCTGGTCATGTTGAACAGATGACCATGATTATTCGCTTTGTGGATGTGATTTCAAATCTACAAAATGAGATTGCGGCAGAAGCAGCAGCTATAAAGAAACATTTCTTGGGTTTTGTGCCTCTAAAGGAGACAACTGGTACTGGTATGACTGATACTATTGTGGCAGTGTATGCCCCAACCCACTATTTGACCCGTTACGTAAACCATGTCTGGCGCCCAACTCAAGGCCGCGCGGTGTGTAGTAGCACTGGCGCGGTGCGTAACAGGTATCCCTTTTCACCTTCCCCCCCCCTCCCCCCGGACGGTCACTATACGGCCGGCGCATAGGGAGGAAATAATAAAATACCACGATGTGCGCATTGGTTAGAAATTCAATAATTTATTTATCAGGAACCCTAGCGTATTAAGTTATACATTACATCTAGTTAAGACGGGGATTTTATTCACTATACCTTAGCATATTTACAAGTTTCCATCGTTGGAGGATATTTTAATATTTAGTCATTAAAGGAGTTTTCGCCTTCATTTATAGTGGTCCCCACCCCCTTCTAGTTAAAATATCTTAAAAACTATTTAAGTCATAAAAATATAAAATAGCATCTTAGATAGCTAAGACAAAACTGCACAGATTACATATAAGTCGTTAGGGATGTGGATAAAGATTTTAATTATTACTCTGGATTAGTCCCCAGAGTTAGGCATTTTACCCCAGGAAACTGGCCAGAAGGCAAAACTTAGACCGACTCGGTTTAGGTGTGACGTAGGGGCTCTCTGATATGTCCGCGCACGGTTTTAAAAAGGGGAGCACACGAGGTAGGGGTCATTTCGAGCTTTGGTCAGCATACCTGCATTGTGCCTTTGTTCAGTGCGGCCCATTGGAACGCTCTGTAAGTAGAGGCAATTACGCCATTTTTATTTCTTTGTGGTTAGTAGGAACTTGTTGAGTGTTAGCATTGGAAGATTTCTGTTCAGACTTATAACCAGGATAGAGTGTAGGATAACCTACAGCGTGTAGACTTATGCTCATGCTATTTTAAAGGTTAACATACAACCGTTAAATAAATTATGTAATAGGATTAATAAATAGATACCAGTGACCAGGGTTTGTGCGTAACAAACAACTGCATATCGTTCTGGGTGCACATACTGCAATGCGCTTATAAAATAAGCTATTGATACAACAGTATACAACCAGCGAGTGTCCGTCAAATATGTGTAATAGGCTAACTTTCCTGCCGTGTGCTAAATTCTCACATAGGAAATAGTGCATGTGTGAGGATCACATCCCATATAATATAATTATGATTCATTCTGCAATCTGCTGTTGTCTTAACAAGACACAGCGATGGACAGATACAAGTATCAAGCCAACGGTGGTCATACTTAATACCATTGTATTTACTGTCCCGCTATGTGTGCCTCTTACATAGACACCATACCTGGATGGCATACTATAATAACTTCAAGATCTTTAAAGTTTATGTTAGCCCTCACATCGCACTCTGGTTCTGTGTGTAGCATTAACACTGTGCACGTGTTTCAAATTAAACACTGCACGTGGTTTCTTTTATAGTTAAAACATTCGTAGTACAAGATAATTATCTTTGCCCTGTGTATGAACCAATACTACTTACGTATCACTTATCATGCTTTCTAGTTAAGTATATGTTGTCGCCACGTGTAATTACGTGGTTATGTAACATGTTTATTATTAGCTATTTTAGTCAGGACATTGTTAACCTGTACTATTTGTTTATTTTCAGATATTGTCCTTTTTCTTTTCCTTTTTCTTTTTCTTTTTCTTTCCCTTTTTCTTCCCCATAGTTCATAGTGTCCTGTTTCTTGTTTTCATCATAGGAGAGCATTAATTAAAAAGCTATAGTCCTCAAGACCTGATTGTTTCATTTTGATTTTGATCTTATTTATAAAACTGTAAGCTACGTCACCACTCGGCTACAGTTGTTGGCGCTGCGAGCAGGGTCAATTTACACTACTACAGTGTTTTGGCGTTGTCACCTAAGTCAACCCTAAACCACCACACTACTACACTATTCTTCGGCAGTTAGAAGAGATGTCTTTATCTATCGAAAAATTACGCAGTCAAGGATATGAACATGGCAGCAATGTGAAGGGAAAAGACAATGGTGTCCAACGAAAAATTTTAGATGTCAATCCCTGAGTATTGTTTGTTCCTTGCTGTGCACAGACCTTGAATTTGGCTGTTAATGATGCTGCAAAATGTTGCTTTGAAGCAACAGCCTTCTTTGATCTAGTGCAACGTGTTTATGTATTCTTTTCTGCATCAACTCGTCGTTGGTAATCTTAAATCGAAATGTTTCTAATATCTCTGTTAAACAACTGAGTGAAACAAGATGGGAACGTCGAACTGATGCTTTGAAACCTCTTCGTTATCAGCTTAGTGATGTCTACGATGCTCTGGTAGAGATCGCGGATGATACAAATTAAACAGGAGCATCTGGTAATACATCACGAACTGATGCACGGGGTATTGCAAAAGCCATTTCTAGTTTTAAGTTTGTCGTTTCTCTGTTATGACATGTTGTTTGAGATCAATAAGAGCAGTAAACAACTTCAGGCAAAAGAATTAGATATAAATGGCGCCATCAATAATCTGGATGAAACAAAGAAGTTTTTCGTAAACCGCAGAAATGACACGGAGTTTGAGAAAACAGTGGTAAGTGCAGCTGAAATTGCAGTCAATTTAGAGATACCAGCACTTTTCGAACCTAAACCAACCCGTATCAGAAGCAATAATTTGCATACGAAGGAGATGACAACGAACCTATTCAGGATCCAAAAGACAAATTCAAAGTAAACTTTTATTTCGCTATTCTTGACGCAGAAATACAATCGCTTCAAGAAAGATTTACTCTGATGCAACAAATTAGTTCGGTGTTTGGTTTCCTCTATGATGTTCACAGTTTTCAGAATACAACTAGCAATGAAGTTGTGGAACATTGCTTGAATCTTGAGAAAGCGTTGCAACATGGAGACTCCACATTGATGCAGTTGATCTAAGTAGTGACCCGAAAGCCATTTCAAGACGAGGTGCACACAGGATGTACTAAACTTTATATTGAAAAATAAACTAACAGATAGTAATCCTCTTGACACTTCCAGTTTATGTGGCTAGTGGTGAGCGAAGCTTCTCGAAGCTCGAACTCATAAAAACATATCTGCGAACATCCATGCTACAAGAAAGACTTGTTGGACTAGCTATTCTGTCAATTCAACATGAAATTGCTAGAGACATTGAACTGATGGAGCTCGTTTCTACATTTGCTAAAGCAAAAGCGCGAAAAATAAAGTTTTGAATTACATAATATACCATTATACATGTATAGATTCTATTGAATGTAAATACCAATTGAAACAAACGGCAGCACAGGATTCATTTGTGAAAGTTAATATCAATTAATTAGTTGCCGTGGGCGCAGTGCGTCAGGTTCGCCTAGGGTGCCAAATACTCTGGCGCCGGCCCTGCTCCTACTTCCACTTCAACGACACCCACCCCCCCCCCCTTTTATTTTTGCGTTTAGTCGAAGGGTAAAGTCCAAGCTTCAATTTTACTTTACAAAATATTTTCGAGGATTACGACTTAGATTAAATATGTCGCAGGGAGGTATTCAGTAAAAGAAAAATGGAGTAGCCTATATTACAGAATAAATAATTATTTGTCTAAGTCGAAGTTTTATTCAATGACAGAGGTGCCATATTTCTTGTCATCATTTTAAAATATAAGATGCTCTGCCAAAACTGTTGAAAAGTAAGTACATCCATCTTGGGTTTGTGATGAATCATGATGATACACAGGAAATTGGCAAATCATCGACTCTGTCAATTTTTTTTTGGATAGAATTCATTTATTTTCACCACGTTGGTAGATAAAATAAATTACATGTTTGCCTTCAGGTCAATTCGTTTTTATCAATCTCTCTCTTTTTTTTTTAAATATACACTTTAAATCTGGAACCAATCCAACTTAATTAGTGTCTATCTCATTGAAATGATACTTTGACTAAGCCTCCAAGTGTTATTTAAAGTACTGGTAATTTGTTTCTTTTTTAAAAGAGAAAGTTGTTTTATAAAAATCTTCTATAAACAGCTGCTCCTCTTCTTTTAGTATGAAATGAAACCTTGGTCTGAGCCAAACTATTTACAAGTTGTTTCAATTCTTTTTTATTTTGGTGTACCAGTGCAGTACCAGTAATGAAAACAATATTTACATTTTAAGACTGAGATGGTTTTTAGATATCTTAGTTAATAAATCAAACAATGAGAAATAGCAAATTATGAAATTTAATTAAATAAATGAGCAAGAAAAAAAAAGTAAACCAAGTTAATTTATTAGCCATTCTCAATGACTTACAACTGTAGTGTTGGGTAAAATCAGATGAAATGAAGAAAAACAACAATCACAATATATAACAAGTGTATGGTCCTGTCATAAATTACCTAGTGTCAATTTGAAGACAGCAACTGAATAGCAAAGCATACATGTTCTTTCAAAAACATTGAAATTAGAAAGCACTGAAATCGAAACATATTATCTACTAAAAAAATAAATTAAAAATAATGACATGAAAGTATTACATTAATTTTGAAAGCTGGTTAACAGCTACATATATTTCTTTAACACAACCCCCCCCCCCCCCCCCCCCCCCCCCCCCCACCAAAGACAGCAAATAAATAACAAAGCATACATGTTATTTCAAAAACATTGAAAATAGAAAACACTGAAATCGAAACATATTATCTACTAAAAAAATAAATTAAAAATAATGACATGAAAGTATTACATTAATTTTGAAAGCTGGTTAACAGCTACATATATTTCTTTAACACAACCCCCCACCCCCCCCCCCACCCCACTAAGGATGTTACAAAATTAAAAAGAATAACAGTATTAACTCAAATCATGTGGATAGAAAATATTTTATTTCCTTCAAAAGTAATTAGTTTTCTAATTTTTAAATATAATTAACTCACCAGACTGATGATTTATGTAAAAATACCGTAGTAATTAGCGTTGGCTGCTATATGTGGAATTGGCATAACACAAAATCACTGCCTCATTCAGTTATAACAAAAAGAGCATGCAAATACAATAGTATCAGGTCTTTTCAGGAACAAGATACAAAGTCAGTCTTCTTGTCATTTTTAAATATACACAGAATTATCACCACACAGTGAACGTAAAAATAATCAATTGTACATATTATAACCTCATTTCTTTATTGTGCTCACTTTATGATCAACTTCAACACTTGCCAAAAGGAAAATAACAGTTAAACAGTCTTTTCTTCTAATTCTTTAATTTGTTTAATATTTAATTAATTAGCCGAGTGTCAAAAAAATCTTTTCAAGAACTATTTTTCAAGTTCAATGCGATAAACCTATGATTTAGAAGCTCAACAAAGACTTTTCTAAATGCTCCAAGTCCACTTGATCATGGAATGGGAACCAAGCTGCAGGTAGATGAGCAGTAAGCTTTTCAATGATAGGCTGTAGTTTATCAAACAACAGCTGGCTGCCTTTCTCAGACAGGTGAAGACCATCATCAAGAAGCACAGTGAAATCCTGCAAAACACATTTTTCACACTAACAGGAATTACACAACAAAAGTATTTTGATACCTTACAAAAATAGTACAAATATTTTCATAGTTAATAAAACATGTATTTAGATTATTAAAAAGTAGTGAATGCAGCTTTAAAATAACATTTTTAATTTTCAATATTCAGACCAGATAAGCGCCAGAATTAATACTGTTGTTAATATGCAACATGTAGATATTGTCACATACAATAGCGGTTGGTCTGATCAACATGCTTCAAAATAGCATCATCCAAAATTAGCAACGTAGAAATTATGATTCAACTGGGACAGCATACCTCAGTCTTCATCATCTCAGAGTAAAGATCAACTTTCTTAGTCCCCATTTCATCGGCAACTTGGCAGCAAGCTTGTGCATAGATCTCTGTGTTTTCATTGTTCTTACTCAAGACTTTACCTTTATAAATCAAACATTTATTACATCTTAAATAACCACTTATTGCTGGTGAGGCAACTAATACTTTGAAATACCGTAGGTACAGAAAACATTTATAAAAAATGTATGTTTTTCACTCATGATTACCAATATGACCTTTGAGGTGGCCACGAGAAAAGTATCTGCCCAGCCATAAGCTCACCTCTCTGTTTACATATAACAGCCCAGGAATCTGCGTGAAATGCAGGTGGTGAAATCAGGATAATTTTCTCTCTACTGATTCCTTGGGACTGTGATGAAAGAAAAAAGTACCGGTACAAATAAATTTGAAATAAACAAAAGACATTATGTGTATGTCTCATTTCCAACTTCTGCACATTCACCAAAAAAAAAAAAAAGAATTGCAAAACTGGTAATTTATATTAAACAAAGTTATCTTATATACACTATATTATCTCATCTGTCTGTACCATAGCAAAGTTAATGATGTCCTTCAAGTTTTGCTTGTATTCTTCAAGTGGAACATGTTGTCTTGGATTTAGATCAGGTTCTGTGGAATCATTGGCCCCTAGAAATACTGTCATGGCAACTGTTTCCTTGGCAATGGCAGCATCCAAAACTGATGGCAGGATGATATTGCACCAACGAGTGTTATAGCCAGAAAATCCTCTTGAAATCACATCACATTTTCTAAAATGACAAACATGGATAATTCATAACTATAAAATTTATCAGTGTATATAAATAGAACTTACATCATTTTTTCGATGATTTATGCAACCACCACTCTGATTTATGCAACCACCACTGGGTAAAAAATAAAAGAGGAAAACGAAAGGTTTGTTCATTAGCTCACCTCTGTAAGTAATCACTAATCAATGAACCCCAACATCCTGCTTTGCTGAAGCTGAACTGAAACATTGAAAAAGGAACTGTAAAGGTAGATAATTAGCATTTATAACAGGAACACCCCCACTGCGTAAAGGTGGTAGAAAAATAATTGTATGAATAACTTGAGTGTTGATGTACTATTTTAATTAGAAGTTACGAGCTATAGTAATTTTTACAGGCTTGTATAGTTTAATCTGTATATTGTATAATCACAACAGATAATAAAAATTTATATGCAGTGGACTCCTTAGATATATTTGAGGCAGAAATTAACAAATTGTAATTAAAATATTAAAATTAACTCTATGTTTTAATTTTACTGCATGGTAATAAAAAGACTCTTTCTTATTTAACTTATTTTGAATTTCAGAACACGCTACCTGGGTAATGGAGTCTCCAAAAAGGAATACTTTTGGCCAGGAGCAAAATTTTTTAACTGAGTTTGACATAATTCTTCAACTACTTAAACATTAAGGGCTTTGGCTGAAAAAAAACAAAATTATAAATTATTATTGGGACTAAACTAAGGTGGTGTAATAAAATATACAAAAAAAAAGTTATATATAGTGTAGCCTAATATAGTAATATTTTAGGGCCTCTAAATTATTTATAAATTACATTTTGTATTTTTAGGGCCTAAGTCCTCTAAGTCTAAACATAGGCATATCATAGTTACATAGGCCTAAATAAACTTTATTTAAATTAGTCAACCTATCAGCCAATCTTCTCCCAGTTTCACCAAACTAACTAGATTGGCATCTACGGGACACATTTGCTTATATCACATTACAGCTGATGCATGTGAAACCCTCTTTAATGGTAAAGGTACCTTTAGGGGGGCTAATGCTTTCAGTTTGGAGTGTAAAGGGACAGGTCCTACAGCGGCTTCTGAAGCGTGGTTTAGTGTCAAAGTAAGACGGTTCAGATCGAAGGCTTAATTTAATAATTAATAAATACTAATACCTTTATAAGTAACTTTATTCTGGTAAATGCATTGAGATGGCACCGTATTTTTTCACATGTCCGCCACCTTGGTTGACACGACCCATGAAGGGTCATGGGGTAATGTCAAACAAGATGGTGGCCAACTAAAAAAAAGGAGTGCAAAAAACATTTTATAAAAAAGGGGAGATGTTATAGGAGAATGTGTTATTTCAAATAAACGATTCTACATGAATATGGAAAAGAAAAAAAAACACCACAAAAAAAACATAAAAATGTAAAATCAAAGAAAAATTTTTTTGGAAGAAGCGAAAAATTCAAATAACAAATAATTTTTTAAAATTAACAAGACATGCAACTTTTGATGCAAATTTTTTTTGTTTCAAGGCCCCCATCCCTAAACCTAACCTGAACCCTAAATGGTTCTCATATTTATGTTACATACACTATACATGCGCTTTCAGTTTGTTTTATAATGTCTTATTACCGGTATTTCAAAGTCAAAGTTGAGTCTAAGGCCGGTACAACTTGTTAAAACACTAACAATCTGAATGTTACATATATTTAAAATGTTTAAATTGCTACAAAATATTTAAAAACCTCTCATGAAACTACTGTTGCGAAGGAACATAATAATTTAAATATAAAATATTTTTAATTAAAATGGAAAAAATATATAAAAGCTCGATCCCCTACTGGGAATTGATCACAAAATATAACATCGCCAAGGGTCTACTCTACCACAAGATCTTATCTAACAGGCATATCTTAAAACCAGCCAATCCAATGGTACATTTTTTCCACGGTGTACGCAGGCCAAAGTCCATGGTTTTGCTAGGTACACCGCCACAGTTTACTCAGGCCTAGGTCCATGGTTTTGCTAGGTACATCTCCACGGTGCACGCAACCACTTTTATTTTAAATGTATCCCTAATACTTAGAAAGGCTAATGCTAGTTGTGGATGCCAAAACGTCTTTTCAATGTTTATTAAAGTTGCCATGAATTAGGGTTCAGGTTAGGTTTAGGGATACATTTAGGGTTGAGTTTAGGTATACATTTACTTAGATTTAGTGACAGAATTAACTGGTCTTCTCAACCAAGATGGCGACTAAATCTGAACCCTAAATCTATCCCTAAACAGAACCCTAAACCTAACCTAGGTACTTGGATAAATCAGTTTTTTGCTAGTGTCATTTCCTTGCAGAGTTATGTGCACCTCGTTCAACTTTTTGTCCACATTTGTAAACATTGCATATGCTTTAGGAAAAAGTGTGGTTTGCTGTCATTTCTTTGTTAAAGAACCTGAACCCTAAACGTATGGCCAAGAAACACTTTTAACAACAAAAATAAATGAAATTTTCAAATTATAAAAAAGTTTACTCACTCTCAATGACTCTCATGAATCTGAATCTCGTAATTGGAGAGGATATACAATTTTTATGACATTTAAAAACTCTCGCATCTGATCTTTACTCCCATACGAGCGTCGCCACATATATTCAAATAAATATGAGTTGAACTGCTCCTCCCCAGGACAGGTTCTCGTGGACAGAGATCTTTTAATTGCACTCCAAGTGCCCTCTATGGTGTTGGTGTGCGCGCCCATTTCAGAGTGTTTGAACTCAATTGAATGGTTCACTGTCAGGTGGTGAAACCCTTTGTCCCATAAACAGTCGTAAGACCCCAAACAATCAGAAATGATCGTGGTCCCTGGCTGCACAAATTCCTTAATTATTGCCAGGAGGACGTCTTTACCACCTTTCTCAACAACCCTGAAAAAGGATTTGTTTGATCCTCTTTCGATCCCACCAAACACCCATTTTCCTTCTACCCGTTTGCCTCTATGATACTTTCGCTTGCCGAATTTGAATTCGTCAATCTCCACAATTTTACCCACTCCGCCTAAGCTCTCACTAGACAAAACACATGCTTCCACACAGACCTCGCGACAAAGGCTCACCCAGTCGGTTACTGTACTGCGATTAACACCTACTTCTGTTGCAATATTTCCCAAAGGCAGTTTTTTAACCCAAAAGTGTGTCAATAATAGAATGTCACTAAATGTCAATTTACTGTCACTAAACCAAGATCCCTTCCTTATACTACGAATAATACTGTCATGGCTTTTGTCGCGACATCTCCATGCAAACCCATCTGAAACACCCGCTTTTGCGCACAATTTCATGCCCCCCACAATTTCATGCCCTTTTCTTACAAACAGGACATTCGTACCGGTCTGCAATGAGACCATCACTCATGACCCAATCCGTCACACTCCTGGCGCCCTGAAATTCCAGACGAATCCAAAAACGGGCGGTAAATTCAGCCTCCATCTGCATAAATTTACCCAAAATTTATCTAAATAATACAAATTGGCGATGCAAAATGATATCAAATTTCGAACCTACCGCGATGTGCGGGCACCCGGAGAAGCAATAAATAAGCAAAATCACTTCTTTATCTACATTCTATATCCGCATAATTTCATTGAACCCAATAAAAAAATTTTTCATTTATATTTCCAACTGCCAACATGCTTCCATTTCCAAACGCTTAGAATTAGAATGACGTTTAAAAGCAAAAGGCAAGTTTTTTATTAACATAAAAAATATACTTATTTTCATGTCATGAACTTTAGTTGCAGCAGTTCAATGTTGATATATACATAAACGTAAATTTTTCAACAAATAAATTAAAATTGTATGTCTATCTAACAAAAACTGTTTATTTTGCCATTTATATAAAAAATATGTAAAAAAAAAAAAAAGCAATATGTAGCTAAACATTTCTTCGGCGTATTTATACAAATACAAAACAAAATTTAATTCTCCAAAAATAAACGAAGGGGAATAGCTCCTGCAATAATCTTAAATAAACACGCAAAAGACGTCATGGCGACATTTCTTTGCTGCAAATTCAATATAAGAATTACAAATTTCATTTTCAGGATTTGTTCATCATTTGTTGATTTCGTTATCAAACGTCAGTGAACAATTAAATTTTCTGAAGTGGCAGCTGCATTCACCGCGGCGATGTACCTAGCAAAATAGCAAAACCATAGTACCCTAATTTTAAAATAAATAAATTTTAAAAAATCAAATAAAAATAGTTAATAATTAAAGCATAGTTTTTTCATTAAATCGACTGATTGAAAATGCATTTTCATCCCTCACCCGTTCACCCAATGCCCAATACTTGCTCTTAAAGAAGAAAACTAACGGCAATTCTAGATTACCAGGCTTTTGAAGCTTAAATTAAAATCAAGTACACATACTCATACTCCTAACTCCTACGTACTTCTAGTTCCGTCACAACGATCCCACCCCCTCCCGTTATTATGTTATGTGTCGCAGGGAGATATTCAATAAAAGAAAAATGGAGTAGCCTATATTACAGAATAAAGAATTATTCCTCCTATTCCAAGTTGTTTGGGCTTCAGTTTGTAATTCTAGCCTATACTTATTCAACTAAAAAAAAATTATTATTATTTTAAATCACACATTAAAAAAAAAAAGTTAACTGTGACTTAACTAATACTTTATTTACCGGATCATATTCTTTTAACTGCTTAAATAACATAAAAACATGCTGCACTTTTTCTGCACTTAAAATTTATACTTAGACTTATACTTAGCTACATAGCCTTTACTACTACACTTGCATTTCAATTTATTAATTTGAATTACCGGTAAAAAAAATTGTCTTGTCTGATACATTAAAACTAAAACTTAATTATAATTAAATTTTTAATAAATGATAAAAATTATGTTTAAGAACTGATGATATTTTCCAGAACTACAACCAATTTGACATGTGTGGATTAGCATTGAAGATTCCAGAAAAAATGTTTTAAAATTATATGTACTAATACTATACTCATAATATTAGATCTATACATAATAAACTCATAATCATAAACCTATGATCTGTTGGCCCATGTATAGAATAAGATAACCATACAAATTATAAAAATAAAGTGAGTAAGCCTACTCACTCACACTGTTTGCTACAAATTAAACCAAGATGTCATCTGTGATTAAAGGAGCCACTAACTTTTCAAAGTAAATCATTTGTGTGTTCTTGTCATACCTTAGCATAGGGGTCTCAAACTCAAATCATCCGGGGGGGGGGGCCGCAGGAGGTAGAGTCTGAGTGAGACAAGTATTCCACACAAAAAACGATTACAAATTCAATAAAGTACAACTGTTACAATCTGCTCGACCTTTAGTCTTAGTAATAACAAATAAAAACATAAAGGTTTCTCAAGAACTAGGCTTCACTTTCTTCCTCCTATTGCCTGTTGCCTGAGACCTGACATCGCAAGTGACCAAGCTGACAGGTTCGGAATTTCCCTCACTCGTAATCATTAGCGGCAATTCTAATAGGGATTCTTTGATACTGTGTCAGATTACTACGATTTACACAATTCTGGTTGTGCATTACCCACTAACTGAATTTTTTAAATTTTGAAATATGTGTATAATATATAAAATTCGAAGCGTGTATTCTCAAACCGCACTTTGGCCACGTTTGTCGCATAAAATGCAACCAATTAAAAACGTTCAGTCCGATTTTAAAGCGGCTTTTACCATTATAAGATTTTAAAGCGGCTTTTACCATTATAACCAACGTCCAAATCTGTACAAACATAATAAAAATCAGAATTAGGCTAGTCGGTGAGTTTCGACTGAAACCGTCGTGGAGGGTCACATTATAAATTTTGGAAAACGCGCGGGCCGCATTAACACTAAATTTGCTGTCATGTCGCGGGCCGCAAAATATCGTCTTGCGGCCGCATATGGCCCGCGGGCCACGAGTTTAAGACCCCTGCCTTAGTACCTTATAAATGTTATTGGTTAATTTTTAAAAAATGTGAATTTAAATTATATTTTTAATACTTATTTTTAATAGAAATGTTTATGCTACAATGAAATAATTAAAGTAACATTGCTTTTTGGGTTTTTGTAACTGTTGGTCAGACTGTTGGGTGCTATTTGTGCATGCATATAAAGCCAACTAACATGCAGATATAAAAATTGAAAAGTTCTGTCACTGATTTATGGCAGGGGACTTTGCTCATAAATGATTTATTTTTAGTCTTGCAGATTAACTATAATTGATCATTAATTAATGATTTGAGTTGTTTATTCTTTGACCAGCAGACTTAACCACATTGGCTCATGAAAATCCCAATAAGTCGACTAGTGTAGCTTATTTTGTAATTTCATTTGGCTATATTATTTATAAACAGAGTTCACAAAAAGACTTAACATTTTTGCAGGATTATTAAACAAGTCAACGTGATACACCAATACATATCTCATCAACGTTATAGGGTTTTCATACCAGGAGGTTTCCCTTATGAAGCTTTTAATAATAGAGGTAATTTATTTTTGTTAATAATTAGACATAGAACACTGAAGTATGACTGTCTTAGCGTGGGGGCAGATCTCACATGTCAACACTTTGACTGGTAGTGCCACCAAAATGACATACAGAATGCAAAGTAATTTAACATTTAACATTTTTGACATATCATTTACTGACTAGATAAAGTCAGAAATTACCATGTATGTAGTCATAGATTTTAACAAAATTTAAGTGAAATAAGTTTAAGTGCAAGAAACTCCTATACTTTGTTCTCAGGTTCTTATAAAAACTGGAAAGTATTGTACTGGGCAAATTGATGCTCAGTACTAAAAGTTAAAAAAAAATATCTATGGCTATAATTCATTGAGGGGAAGAAGTTATGCTTAAGGGAAAAAAAACAAGAAAGCTTTTTATTATTGAATTGGGACCATCAGTTTTCTTCTTTAAGTTTAAGACATAACTCATTAGCTTAAAAAGCAGTGTGTATAACATATTTAGAAAGTCTTGAGAAAATGTTTTATTTTTTAGTTGCTTGCATCCATCTTTGATTGTAAATCTACCAGAGTATTGATCCTTTTCTTACATTGTAAATTCTCTGTAATACGATTACTTTTAAAAAAAGTATCATAAGCAAATTCTAATCTTTGTGGTTTAATTTTGCAGCCTGCATTTGTCCGTGGAGCATTGTTAGAATGATAGAATGTGGACGAGGTGCTGGATTCAGCTCAGGCTTCCTAGATGCCAAAGAAATGTACAAAGATTACTTCATATTCATTGCATCAAGCTCAACAAAAGTTTCCCCAGAGCTTTATAACCCAACCAAAATCAAAGGACCCTTGATACAGGATGTGACCTTAGACTATGTCGGTAATATGTCTTTCAAGCTCAAAAACATCATCTCTATTGAGGGGGACAAAGAACCCATCTGTGAAAACAACACTCAGTCTGTTTTTGTGAGTGTAAAAACCAGAAAGCCCACTGCACCCCCGGACTGGTGGCTAAATAAATATTCACTGGGTCAAGACAATGGAACGCCGCTTAAAATGAATCTGTTGAAACCTCCCCAGGGTATGGATTTAAATGAATTCTCTTTCAAAGTTCCAGCGAGTGATGTAGATCCTTACCTGCATGTCAACTGGTCCAATTATGTCAAGTATTTTTATGAAGCTCTGGTCCAGACCACCCTGTCAAAGGTTGGGAATGAGAATGCACAACTTGCATTCCGCAACCTAAAAGACTTTTCTATATCTTACATCCATGAGGCTGGCATAGGGGATGATTTAAATATCATATTTTGGGAGGACGTAAACATTAGAGATTTATATCACTTCCAAATGTTGAATGGGACAAAAATTGTTAGTGAAAGTAGTTTTGAGTTGCTTCCTTGCAGATGATAAATTTTTCATAAAAAAAAAAAAATTGACTTGCACTTATGGAATAAAATGAGACACCATAGCCATGGCATGGGCTCTGCAACCCCTGCAGCTGTACTGCATGGGGTCTCAGATATATAATGAGCTTAATGTTTTGATAAGAAAAATTGTACACTATCAACTTTGATTATGCAAGGTGAACAAAACTGAAAAGTGACAGGAGGTCTCCAAAAGTCATGCAATGGCTCTGTCTAGTACTAGTACATTTTAGGTTTGACAATGACTTTGTCTCATTTCCGTACATGTATTTTTTTAAGGGAAATGTAATCTAAATGCCCTGTTGTTTTATCCTGAGTTTTCTGTAGGTTAAATGTTTGAGTGTAGGACCATACAGTTGTACATAGATAATTTTAAGTAGATGAAGATCAGTTTTTGATACAAGTGCAAGAACCCAGTATAGGAGCTGCTCATTCCTGCCCAAGACTATCAGGGACTGGAACAATCTTTCAAAAGGAACGGTTGAGGCGACAACACTAGACACATTTGTGTCTATTGCCTCAAGCCTTCAAACCCCTAGTGCATGATTTCCTCATCAACACCAGTAACAAAAACATTGCAAATCCCATCTACTTGCATAGGAGCCAACATGATCAATAAATTGATCGTGGGCCCTTAAGATATAGAAGAAGAAGAAGTAGTTCAGAGTTCATGGCCACCTCCAAAAATTTCTGATTGTTTAATACATAATTATCGATAACTATGAAAAGTTTTATAGTGATGTTCTGTTCTAAATTTTTATGCTATTTTATGTGAATTATTAAACCGAAGTTTTATTCAATCACTGAGGTGCCATATTTCTTGTCATCATATTAAAATAATATGTGTTGCTCTGCCAAAACTGCTGAAAAGTAAGTCCATCGCTCTTGGGTTTATGATGATACACAGGAAATTGGCAAATCATTGACTCTGTCAATTTTCTTTTTGATAGAATTCATTTATTTTCACCATGTTGGTAGATAAAATAAATTACAAGTTTGCCTTCATGTAAAATCATTTTTATCAACCTCTCTTTTTTAATATACACTTTTAAATCTGGAATCAATCCAACTTAATTAGTGTCTATCTCATTGAAATGATACATTGACTAAGCCTCCAAGTAGCATTTAAAGCTATTTGTTTCTTTTTTAAAAAAGAAAGTTGTTTTATAAAAAACTTCTATAAGCAGCTGCTCCTCTTCTTTTAGTATGAAATGAAACCTTGGTCTGAGCCACACTATTTTCAAGTTGTCTCTTTCTCACTTATTTTTGGTGTACCAGTGTTGAAAAAAAATATTTACATTTTAAGACTGAGATGGTTTTTAGTATTTTTAGATATGTTAGTTAATAAATCAAACAATGAGAAATAGCAAATTATGAAATTTAATTAAATAAATGAGCAAGAAAAAAATAGTAAACCAAGTTAATTTATTAGCCATTCTCAATGACTTACAACTGTAGTGTTGGGTAAAATCAGATGAAATGAAGAAAAACAACAATCACAATATATAACAAGTGTATGGTCCTGTCATAAATTATCTAGTGTCAATTTGAAGACAGCAACTGAATAGCAAAGCATAAATGTTCTTTCAAAAACATTGAAATTAGAAAGCAGTTAAAGTGAAACAAAAATTATCTTCTAAACAAAAACTGACACATAAGAATTACATATTAAAAATTAATTTTGAAAGCTGGATAACAGCTACATATATTTCTTTACTCCCCCACCCCAATACTAAGGGTGTTACAAAATTAAAAAGTATACAGAAAGTACAATTTCTTGTTTAATATTAGAATAACAGTATTAACTCAAATCATCATGTCAATAGAAAATATTTTATTTCCTTCAAAAGTAAATCGTTTTCTAATTTTTAAATATAACTAACTCGCCAGAATGTTGATTTATGTAAAATAATAGTAATTAGCGTTGGCTGCTTTAGCTGGAATTGAAATAACACAAAATCATTTTGTGCCTCATTCAGTTATAACAAAAAGAGCATACAAATACAATAGTATCAGGTCTGTACAGGAACAAGTTACAAAGTCAGTCTTCTTGTCATTTATAAATATACACAGAATTACCACCAAATTAAAGGTCAATCAATAACCTACTGAAATATTGATTTTGTAACGGTGATTATTAGTAGTAAGATTAGTACCATACAATGAATGTAAAGATATTATCACATGACATGTACTCTGACAGTGAACTTAATATAATTTTAACCTCTCTTTCTTTATTGTGCTGGCTTTATGATCAACTTTAACACTTGCAAAAATGAAAATAACAGTTTTTTTCCCCCCTAATTATTTATTAAGTAATGATGTGCAACCCCCACCCATGGTCCAACTTTGTTTTAATCAGACATTAGACAAAACTATAATTTAAAATATACAGGTTACAGGGGATATGTTTCAGTTTCTAAACCCATCAATTAAAAAAACCAAAAAAAAAACCAACTTTGATTCTGTCTTAAGGAGTGGGCTAACCAGGACAAGTCATTAAAGGAATAAAAATTAACAGCTTATTTTGATTTATCGGATATGTTGAAAATACATTTCTTTTTCTTTAAAAATCCCCATCAAAAACACAAATTATCATGTTAATTGAGTAGATGCGATTCATATGATTATGTTGTTGATGAATTTTAAAAGAGACACCAAATAAATTGTTTAGATGACTGACATTATTTTGCATTCATTTAAATGAGAATTTTTCTTAAATAAAAAAGTTTGTCACTGAGAGACATAAGATAAGAATGCCAGAAAAGTGGCTTTAACATACATTTTAATTAGTTTACATAAACAGAGTTTTCTTATACTAGTAATTTCTTAACTTAAGTAATTTATTAAATAATCATACTAAATCATTTAAAATAGATCATTTCTAATACAAAAAAACTTCCAACATATTCACTTTTTAATTAGATAAGCATCAGTTTCTAATAAGTCTTTAGGAACAGTATAGTTTGGAGTGCTCTAACATAGTGACTTGATCATGAATAGCTGATTATGAATAGCTACTAGAGATATAAAATAAAGCTAAAATAAGGGTCAATGAGTTATTTTTCACTTAAAGGACATGTCAACAGACTTGATATCATAAACTATTAAGTATTTGAACTACTTGTGTTAAGAGTCTATTATCATATTACGAACATAAATTTAAGAGATGCTATTATCCTATTTAATTTACTTCAAGGCTTTCTTTAATTGCACTCAGAAGACACTGTCAAAAATATTATTTTTTGAGAAAATCCACCCAGACACAAGTGTTATTAAATAATAATAATGAACCACACTATTTTAGTGTGGTCATGTTTAAATAGTACAAACTTCTCTTGTTAGTTAGATAAGTAAATCTCAAACCCATTTTATAATTTATTCAATGTCTTTTGTTTAAATAGAAAAATATAACTCATCATCTTACAACCGTGCACCAGGTGACAAATTCCAAATTGAAATTCATAGGCATAACTGTCAATAATATCCAACTACTTTAGTGATACTGTTGAGGTGGGTAGCCTGGATATGGATATCCCGCCTGGGGTGGCTGTTGCTGTGGGTATGGATAAGGCGGAGCCTGGTAGCCTTGTGGATTGTGTTGGGGGTAGCTGGGTGGATTCTGACCTTGCTGGGGGTAGCTCATGTATGGATTGTAAGGGTTGTATCCGGGTGGCATCTGGGGCATTGGATAGCCCCCTTGTCCAGGATGTGGAGGATATGGAGCCTGCCAGCTGGCACCGCTGAATCCTCCAGGGGCTCCTAAAAAGAATGTGAAAAATTGTACACTACTAAAAATTTGGCTAATGTCTATTTCACACATCACTGATACAGTGTTAAGTTAACCATTAAGTTTCAAGTTATTTAATGCCAGCTCAATCAAATAATAGTACTCTTGTCATATGATCAATCTCATTTTATAAATTCTTTTTAAAATGTCACATTTTTTTTCATATCATATCATATCCATTGTTTAACAAAGCAGAATTACATTTCTTACATTGGGACAAATGGTTTCTCAGGGAACTTAATGGTTAATTTAAATACATAGGATTGATAGAATACATTATCTCTAAATTATGAGTAAGTTTCTACAAAATAAAAGTTGTGCTTGTATAAGAACAATGTCTGCTGTTACCATTAACTGAGACACACTAAATCACTCATAATATGTACATGACTTAGCAGACTGAAGTAAAAATTAACAGCAATACTGCCAGTCTTATTGAATCAATTAAAATCTCAGAGTAATTAGAGTTAAGTAAACTAATTTTTTGCGATCATGTTCATGTTAAAACTGCCAAATTTTGACCCTGGAAATTCAATTTATAGTAATTTGTGTACACAGAAGATAAAAAAGTCAAAAGTGAGAGCTAATAGCAGTACCGTTTTAAAACAATACATTAACAGTAATAATTAGTGATAAATTAAATAGTTCAATCTATTATTATGGAGGTTGTTGCCATAGACTACATAAAATTATTTCATTGACTCTGAAAAAATTGATCATTACTACTATCAAATCTACTGCATCTTCACTACATCTAACAGATCTACACTAGATCTATCTTTACCAAATCTAAAAGATTTACTATAAACCTATCTTTACCACATCTAAAAGATCTAGTATATACTTACCTAAATTTACAACATCTATCAGTTCTATGTATGCTTTATCTCACAAATCTACTTTAGATTATTAACACAATATAGTACATATTTTGAGATATTTTAAAACATGTTTAGTGATATCCTTCATTTCTTTATAGAGAATTGTTCAGCTTTCTTGGTAACCCTTTATCTACAGCATGTTTTCAACAGCAATGTCTATTTTTGGCTTTTTTGAAATTGAATTTCCACACACTTATCGCTTATAGGTATTTCTTGGGTGTCTGTGGTAGTTATGATTTAAGATTGCCAGCATAGATACTGCAAAAAGTTTTAGAATCTGTTAATCCAGATTACTAACGTTAAGGGTTATCTTATGTAAGCACATTGCATAAAATATTTGAAATAATTGTTATTACCAAAAATACTTTATTGATTTGTAAATAAAACAACCTCATCAACAGATCTGGCTGGCAAGTAATTAATAATAAGCTTTCAAATTCGGTGTATTTAAATTTTCCTTGTCCTTAACCGATGACAGTGCTTATCTTGCTTGCGAAACAAATGATTAAATATTAAAATTTTCTTTGTACTGTGTTAGTGTATGAATAACTTTTCATCGCCTCTGCTCAGAATGTTATCTGAAGCTTAAAAAGACCTAGTCTGACCCATTATCAAAGTAAAAATTGATTTTATGCTTAAAACAAGATTTATCTAATCTATTTAATGTTTCTTTCTGCGGGGAATTCTTTTTTTTTTTTTAAAAGCCAAGAACAATCTTCTGGTAATTTTATACTCTATATCCTATATCCCTTTTAACTTTTCGCAAATTGTAAAAACTGACAAGACCTGGATATAACAGCAGGATTTTGTGGTAATTATTCAATGTTTAGATGATATTTTTAACTGGTCTCGTCACTGCAGATGATGGCTATAGTAGTGAGTTTAGTTTGAATGTCTTACCATAGGGGTTCTGTGGCTGGCCAGGCTGACCAGGCGTTGTTGAATATGGAAGAGAGGGAGCTGATGCAGTGCCTACATGTACATGGGAACAGAGACAGAATAAAAATACACATAATATTTACCAGGGAGTAAGATAATAAATGAAATAAAAGGATGAAATCAGAAATCAGTGCTTCTCAAACTGGATTAATCACTCATAATAATAGTGATTGGAACATATTTTCATTTGATTAATTCCATTTTGTGTCTTGAAAAATAAATTCCCTATGTTAACTAACACAATTTATGAAATGAATAGTTTGAGAAACACTGAAGTAAAATAAATTCTTCAACAGAAAGTATTTTTCTACAGTAATAAGATATTTAAAAATGAAACAAAATACAACGAGAGCTAGCTCCTAGGCTCATAACACTGCATTATAAAGATGTAGAATATAACTTTAAAATACAATATTGGCTTACATGTCTGATGCAAAAATATATTTATAAATTACT